TTTTGATAAACATAAATGGACCCAAGGTCGTTTTGATAAACATAAATGGACCCAAGGTCGTTTTGATAAACATAAATGGACCCAAGGTCGTTTTGATAAACATAAATGGACCCAAGGTCGTTTTGATAAACATAAATGGACCCAAGGTCGTTTTGATAAACATAAATGGACCCAAGGTCGTTTTGATAAACATAAATGGACCCAAGGTCGTTTTGATAAACATAAATGGACCCAAGGTCGTTTTGATAAACATAAATGGACCCAAGGTCGTTTTGATAAACATAAATGGACCCAAGGTCGTTTTGATAAACATAAATGGACCCAAGGTCGTTTTGATAAACATAAATGGACCCAAGGTCGTTTTGATAAACATAAATGGACCCAAGGTCGTTTTGATAAACATAAATGGACCCAAGGTCGTTTTGATAAACATAAATGGACCCAAGGTCGTTTTGATAAACATAAATGGACCCAAGGTCGTTTTGATAAACATAAATGGACCCAAGGTCGTTTTGATAAACATAAATGGACCCAAGGTCGTTTTGATAAACATAAATGGACCCAAGGTCGTTTTGATAAACATAAATGGACCCAAGGTCGTTTTGATAAACATAAATGGACCCAAGGTCGTTTTGATAAACATAAATGGACCCAAGGTCGTTTTGATAAACATAAATGGACCCAAGGTCGTTTTGATAAACATAAATGGACCCAAGGTCGTTTTGATAAACATAAATGGACCCAAGGTCGTTTTGATAAACATAAATGGACCCAAGGTCGTTTTGATAAACATAAATGGACCCAAGGTCGTTTTGATAAACATAAATGGACCCAAGGTCGTTTTGATAAACATAAATGGACCCAAGGTCGTTTTGATAAACATAAATGGACCCAAGGTCGTTTTGATAAACATAAATGGACCCAAGGTCGTTTTGATAAACATAAATGGACCCAAGGTCGTTTTGATAAACATAAATGGACCCAAGGTCGTTTTGATAAACATAAATGGACCCAAGGTCGTTTTGAAATGAATGAGTGGGCCGAAGGCCGTTCTGACATAAATGAATGGGCCAAAGGCCATTTTGACACGAATGTATGGGCCGAAGGCCGTTTTGACATAAATGATTGGGCTGAAGGCCGTTTTGTCATAATCGAATGGGCCGAAGGCCATTTTGACGTACATAATTGGGCCAAAGGCCGTTTTGACATAAATGATTGGGCCAAAGGCCGTTTTGACATAATCGAATAGGCCGAAGGCCGCTCTGACAAGAATGGAGATCTGAATGGGCCAAAGGCCAGAATGTGTGAAGTTACAGTCACTTGATTTATATTTAGCTATATATCTGTTAAGTAGGAAAATGAATTGGGCCCAAGGCCGTTTAGAGTATGTTGTTCTACATATTATTTATATGACTTCTGTATTTGACATTATTCACTGGGCTATCGCTCACACTCATTCATGTGTTTGTAGGTGAGCCAAGAGAAGTCCAAACCCAGCCCCAGTGAAGTCTGCCAGGAACAACATGAGTTTGGAGAGTCAGCCTTGTGTCTCACGCATGAGACTCAACCTTGCCATTCTGTTATGTATTTCCATTTTGTCTTGCTGGCAAGGATCTTGTGTATATCGGTATGTAGTTGTGATATGGGTTGACTCAGTTTAGATGATCCTGTCTGTAAAGGATTTTCTGGTACTGTATTTCGTTGTGGGTTATTAACGTATATGCGTATGGTTTGTTTTAAAGTGCATATAAGCACGGCTCTATGGACAAAGTTTTAAATTGCTTCCGTTTGGCCCCCATTAACTCTGTTAAAATACATTTGGTTTGGTTTGAGGCCGTAGGTAATCTCATGATTACTGGCCGGTTACGTCCTTAACCCATGGGGGCG